CCCCCTCCCCCTCCCGCCGCCCTCGCTCTCCCCCGGGCGGCCGGAGACGGCGGCGGCGTCTGCGGGAAGCCGTGTGTCTCCGCAGTGACGTGGGCGGGCCGAGGGCTCGGTGACGTCAGAGGGCTGTGTGTAGCGATGTGTGTGGGGTTCGGAGCGGCGCCGGCACAGCCGAAGGGAGCGGGCGAGCGGCGGCGGCGGCGGGCACAGGTGCGGCCCGGGCTCGCGAGGGGGACGGGGCGGGAGGAGAGGGGCGCGGGGCCCCCCGGGAGCCCGACGGCGGCGCTAGGGGCGGGTGAGGAGTTAACAAAGCTCGTCGAGCTTCCCCGGGAGCGGAGGCCGGAGTCGGGGGTCCGGATGCGCGGGTCCCGGGTGGGGTCGGGGCCACGGGCGGCGCGGGGCGGGGGTCCCACGGCGGATCGTGCCTCGCTGACCCCGGGCGGTGGGCGCGGGCAGGGGAAGGGCGCTGCACTTGACCGGAGCCGTCGGGACCCCGGAGACCAGCACGCCCGTCGCCGCCTCCCCCACCCCCGGCGCCGGTCTGCGCTCGGTGGGGATGCCCCGAGCTCGACCTGGTCGACCGGCGCCCGGCGGCGCGGGGATCCCGGCTCGGGCGCCCCACCCGCCCGCTGACCCCTCTCCCTTCTGGCTCCGGGCGGGCGGGGGGAGGTGCCGTCTTAGGGGTGCTGGGGTAACACCCGAAAACTTCCCGGGGAGAGGGTGCGCGGGGGATTTCCACCGTCCTCCCCGCGGCCCCCGCAGTGGGGCCGTGTTGCGAGGGCACTTGGGGTTGTCGTGAGACTGCGGGTGGGGGTTGGGGGATTCCTCTTCCTGCACTTCCCACTCCCCCCTTGCACACCCCAAGGCGTCCCGGGTGCCTTGTCTTCCACTCTTCCCCTCCCCCTCGGGTTTGAGATGGGTGGGCGGCTTTGCGTGGGCCGAGGATTTCAGGGTTTGGGGGGCTCCCCGGTTCTAGGTCATGCCTGCTGCCCTCTTCCTTGGCCTGCGTTGGCTGAGGTGTTCCTGTGGTGGGCGAAAGTCAGTACATTGGCTACTGGCCTTGGTCCTTAACCCTTTGGGTCTGTTTTAAGGTAAATTGCTGGGAGCTTGGGAGGCAAAAATTTCTGTTTATTGGATTTCTTTTGGATTTTTCTGTCAAGAAGGAAGTGGAAGAAGAATCTTTTCTTTTTTCCTCTTCCTCCATTTGCATTCTTTGTGAGGTCTGTCTGCCTTGTGCTTTTTGTCCCGGATTAGTCTTGTTCAAGGATGGAGATTCCCAGGAGTGGAGTCTCTAGCTTTTGGCTTCCATTAAGCAAATTCGCTAATCTTTTAAAGGGAATGTTAAGTTTTGCCTGCAGTCATTCCAGAAAAATAGCATAAACTGACCAGATGAATTGATGCACTTAAGATTGTAACTTAGTTACATATGGTAGATATGTTAACTCGTGTCTGATTTTTTTGGATCAAACTGGTGTTTTTTTTTTTTTTTTTAAATTAGGAGATGAAGTAATGGATTATTTTAGTTAAAATGGCATAACTGAGAAAGCCTCTAGTCCTGAGTTTTGGGTGAGATGATCTGTTTAAGGTTCTTCCAATTCTGAGTTGGGGTAGCCCTCACCCTCTTGAGGGATATTACTGCTCTCTTTACCCATTCTCCAAATTGCTTTCCTATTTGAATGAAGGTTCTTCTAGTTAACTGGTGTTAGATTTAAAAAAAAATGAAGTGTCACCTTTGGTAAAGTGAACTTAGTTTAAGATTAAGAAACTAGTTTCAAACTGAGCCTTTGGCCTCTGGAGCAAATTCAAATGTAACTCTTGCCCCATCCCCATTCTCTTCCAGATTCATTAAAAGAAGAATGAACAGTAATCCTTGAAGATAACTGGGCAGTTTTTCTTTAGGTATCATTTTTAACTGTAGAAGTTCAAGTGGAGTGAGAGGCTCTTGCTGGTGTGAGGATTTATTCAAGTCTTCAGGTTGTCGACACAGACCAGCAGATCATCGTTTTTAGAGAAGAATTTTTTTTCTTTTTTTGGTGTCCTTGGTGCCAAAAATTAAATTTGGGTGCATCATTTTGACTTGTGTTTGTGTCTAGGTTTTATGATACAGTAATCGCATAAACTTTTCATGTGTTTTGCTTAAAACCAAACCAAACCATTGCATTGAACCTGGACATCTTGAATTGAGAGGATTGGTAACTTTATTTTAATACGTATATCCGAAGAATTAAAAAAGAAAAAAAAAAACTTCCTCAGAGGTGTGCCTCTTCAAATCATATTCTTTATTAAAGACAAAACGAGGAATTTTTAGCATTTGTAGTGAAATTATACTAGAGTATAAGCAGAACCAAAACAAAGTTGCAAAATCTATTCACTAGGGAGATCTCTCTTTGGAAATTTAAATTTTCTATGAGAGTAAATTACCATAAGTATTGGTGTATATCGCTTTTCTCTCTTCAAATAAGCAACTAAATAACAATGCAAATCTCAGACTTACTTATTTAACAGTAGTTTTTAGCAATGGAAAACCTACAGACAAATTTCCCCTTGGTTCAGGGTTCCAATAAAAAACTGAATGGGATGGGAGATGATGGCAGCCCTCCAGTGAAAAAAATGATGACAGATGTTCATGCAAATGGAAGAATGATGATCAACAAGATGCCAACAGTAAAGAAGGAACACTTGGATGACTATGAAGCGCCCATGGAAACTAATGGAGAGCATGTCAAGCGAACCTGTGCCTCTGTGCCTGAACCTTTGCATTTAAATCCCAGTTTGAAACACACTTTGGCACAATTCCACTTAAGTAGTCAGAGCTCTCTGGGTGGACCAGCAGCATTCTCCGCTCGGTATTCCCAAGAAAGCATGTCACCTACTGTATTTCTGCCTCTTCCATCTCCTCAGGTTCTTCCTGGTCCACTACTCATCCCTTCTGATAGCTCCACAGAACTCACCCAGACTGTATTGGAAGGGGAGTCTATTTCGTGTTTTCAGGTTGGAGGAGAAAAGAGACTCTGTTTGCCCCAAGTCTTAAATTCTGTTCTCCGTGAATTTTCACTCCAGCAAATAAATACAGTGTGTGACGAGTTGTACATCTATTGTTCAAGGTGTACTTCAGACCAGCTTCATATCTTAAAGGTCCTAGGAATACTCCCATTCAATGCCCCATCCTGTGGGCTGATCACATTAACTGATGCGCAAAGACTATGTAATGCTTTATTGCGGCCACGTACTTTTCCTCAAAATGGCAGCATATTGCCTGCTAAAAACTCATTGGCCCAGTTAAAGGAAACTGGCAGTGCCTTTGAAGTGGAACATGAATGCTTGGGCAAATGTCAGGGTCTGTTTGCACCCCAGTTTTATGTTCAGCCTGATGCTCCGTGTATTCAGTGTCTGGAGTGCTGTGGAATGTTTGCGCCCCAGACATTTGTGATGCATTCTCACAGATCACCTGACAAAAGGACTTGCCACTGGGGCTTTGAATCAGCCAAGTGGCATTGCTATCTTCATGTGAACCAAAAATACCTAGGGACACCTGAGGAAAAGAAACTGAAGATAATTTTAGAAGAAATGAAGGAGAAATTTAGCGTAAGAAATGGAAAGAGAACGCAATCCAAGGCAAGTTTTTTTTTTTTTTTTAAATAGCAATTTTGAATAACGGTAATGGTTTACTTTGAAATTAAAAGTCTATTTAGAATGTAACGTAACCTGTGTGTTAAACTGTTACTGCTCATATAACAACAACAAGAAATACTGATCTATGTGATATGTTTGTTTAACACGTTTTAGGCTATAAAGTGCTTTCCTGTGTGCGTTCTCATTTGATCTTCCAAACAGCTTAGTGAGAGAAGTAGAATTATTCCCATTTTACAGGTAAAGAGAATGAGGCTCAGAGAGATCAAGTGGCTTTCCCAAGATTACATAGCCAGAGAGTGGAGGATTTGGGGCTTCTTTCTCAAGTCATGTACTCTTTTTCACGCGTCCTCCTTTTTGATGACTATATCGGTTGTTTTCCTAGGAGTCAAGATAATTTACACTTCGGTGTTATTTCCATTTGCAAATGGTATAATAGCCAAAACAATTCTGGTGGTGGGCTCCTCACAGCATTTTTTTCAAAGGTACATCTACGATTTCTGACATTATTTCTATAGTTGGATGTTTGGCCTTGATCAATATTAGAAACAAATGGAAAAAACAGATGTATCTGAAGAATTTGTGATTCTTTTTTTTTTTGTGAGGAAGATCAGCCCTGAGCTAACGTCTGCCAATCCTGTTTTTGCTGAGGAAGACTGGCCCTGGGCTAACATCCGTGCCCATCTTCCTCCACTTTATATGGGACGTCGCCACAGCATGGCTTGACAAATGGTGTGTCAGTGCGCGCCCGGGATCCGAACCGGCGAACCCCAGGCTGCCGCAGCGGAGTGCGCACACTTAACCGCTTGCGCCACCGGGCCGGCCCCGAGATTCTTTTTTTTAAAAGGAATAATTTTAAAAAATTATGACAGATAGAAAAAAGAAAAGATTATTTTAGACTAAGTAAATATTAATATAAAAATGTATCAGTAGAGTGATCTTAAACTTACTATTTTTCCCACTGCATTTTCTGGTAGGCTAAACTAATATCTTCATTCTAAGAGTTTGAATGCCTGGGTAATAGACCAGATTTGGGTTATTAAATATTCAGTTTATTGATCTGGTTTTTAAATATATTTTCCTACTTGTTTAAAATCATTATAGTAACTAACACTAAGTGTTTAAAATGTGGCAAGCATTATTCTTGAGCAGTTTTACCTGTATAATTTTATTTGATTCATAAACTAAGAAAAGGTTGGCCATGTTTCATCTTAAGAATCGAATTTTTCCGCTATTAGTTTTTATTCCTTGAAATAATCTCTGCCCTTTCTACTTCACAGAAGAAAGGAATGAAGTGTATTAAATGACCGAAGGTCATTCACAGCAACGTTAGAGCTTGGGCTAGAACCTAAGATTTGGTGTCCTGTGCACTGTTATGGTGCCTTTAAGGTTTTGAGGGAAATTTAGTTACAGCGTAGTTTTAGACAGTGATTTGTTTCTGAAGCCCAATGAAGATAATTTTAGACTCTAATTCAGGGTGGTTTGCTACTTGCTGCTTCCAACGGGTCAGCACTTCTTTGAAATTCCTTGCCTGTGGCTACTGGATAAGTTTATATTGTTCAGGTGCAGTTATTAACTGATTTTGAAGCAGGATTGACTTTAAGCCACTTCTCAAATTGCTAGACTGGCTTATAGCTGGGCTGGTCCCATGCTGAAGCTTGTGCTTAGAGATTATCTATATTATCAAAATGTGGAATGCCCTTTTTGATGTTTATATTTTGCCCTAAGCTAATTAGGGGCTCTACTTTACATGTCCATAGGTGGCCACGTTATTTGCCAGATACTCTTGCTCCAATCTTCATTGCTCTGACATAAGCATTTTTGGAATAAACTACTTTGCCTAAATATTCCTGCTCTGTGTGTGAGAAAAAAATATCTGAGAACCATGAGAAAGGTTAAAAAAAAAAGATGATGAATTTACTTAACTGAAACTAAATGTGCTAGGGTTTGGTTAAAATTGAAACCATCCTTCATCTGGCTGTAGTCCTTTATTGTCTCAGAACTTATTAATTTGAATTCATTTTTTGTTTGTGAAAGGTGTGAGATTTTTTCATCTTTTTGCTATGTTATTTTTTGCAATATTTGCTACAGTGTTTCTGGTGTATTTTGGTATTGTTTCCAATTTTATGTGAATTCTTGGCAATTTAAGGAAATTTAAGAAAATTTCAGCAATCAAACCTTTAAGAAAAAATTTTTTTGGGTTCGCGTGTAATACATACTTGAGTGGTTGTTTTATTACTTGCCACTTCACGTTTTAAAAATTTACTCCTCAAAACTTTGTGAGGTGGTTCTTTTTTGAAGTTCTGTGAGCAGGGTTTCCCAGATGGGTCACATGCTCCTGGTTGTATAACTGGTAGGTGGGTAGAATCAGGAGTTGAATGCAGATCTTTTTACTTGAAGTCTCGTATTTTCACTACTTTTCCCTAAAGCAAACTTCGTAGCAGAAACTGAATTTGAGAAACATTAACTTTTCTTATCAACTTACCTTAATGTAATGGTTCTTAAACTTTATTAACTTGTATATAGACTAAGGTATTTTACTGGGAAGGGGGCAAGAAGATGGTCCTTGACTGGGGAACATTTTTCGTTATCGTCTGTGAGTCACTGAGTTGGTTGCTAACCAAACCAAACAGATCCAGAGGATGCTTATTTTAAAAAGTCCGCAGACTTTTTTTTTTTTAAACAAAAGAATATACTAAATGTAGAAACCTCTTATATAAAGGGCATTATGTTTAGTGTGAATACTAATGTAATTTGATATGTTTATATAGTTAATGTAGTCAAAGTATTGTTTTTGGATTAAAAAAAAACCCTGAAACTCAATAGGCAATTGTTTGGAATGTAGCAACTGTTAAATTATTTCTAAGGATGTAAATCATATTAGTAATGATCGCTAAACCATTTGCATAGCTAATAGCTATATTTAATTTGCATAGTTAGTAAGCTATGTTTAGATGAGAGAAATCAGTGGTATAAGGTCAGTGTTCTGAGTGAAGAACTGATGCTGTTCTTTGTAGAAATTAAAGATATGTTTTGACCTCTTTATTACTCAGGTCACCACAAGAAATACACTTGATTTTAGATCTGCCTAGGTTGCTTTGCAAGATGGTGTTACCAAACTATTCATATCTTCATATCATTTAAGCTTTTTGTGCTTTTTATTAGAAAAACGGTTATTGTATTTTACAGTGCACAAATATATGCAAGAGTATTATATTTCTGATTCTTTTCCAAATCTTCAATGGGTATTATTTATTTTATCTAATTCCGATTTTGTTGAATGTTACGTTTCTGTCTATGGAAAAAAGGTTGCTAAGCAAATTGATCATTTGTAAATAAAATTTGAAGAGTGATGTTTACATAAGATTATTTTCAAGCACACTAGAAAAGCCCATTTGTAGTCAATTGATAAGGTAATTATAGGAGATTCTTTACTGTTACAGCATTTGGCTGACAATCTCTACTAAGTTAAAGATGGTGTATGCCCTTATAAGTGTATTTTTTTAAAAATTAAAATTTAGATTTCTGACATTCAGACGTGGCTACTCTTAGTAAGTAAAATGATACAGTTTTTACTCTGCTTAGAGAAAAAAAAAACCTATAGATTATCTGTGATGCAAATAGATGACCTAAAGATGTCAACTTAAAAATTTTCCTCTTAAAGCCTATTAGGCATTTCACTATTTTTAGTTTTGCGTTTTCCTTTTAGTTCGTCATTTCTGCAGAGGTCGTTGGGGTAATAATAATAGTACAAAAAATTTCTCACCTCTTGTAAGCTATTTTGCTTTTGTTTAGGAAATGTGTTTCTTAGTACAAACCTAGATGAGGTAAGGAAATATACTAGAGAGAATGGGCAACTACAAAGAGTAGTGTTGGGACAAAATGTGTTCCAGTAATGATTGGAGTAGATTTGGTGTAATTTGTTACATCAGTGGTATAGTTTGCATTTTGTGATTAGCATAAATTTTGATCAAGTGGGGATAAGGTCAGAATCAAATGAAATATTTGTGCTTGTATAAGGGACCAGTATGAATATTTTTGTCTAACTTTCTAAAATTAATAACTGTCCTTGTGAGTTTAGAGACTATCTTTCTCCTGTTTTCCCAGAACATAGTTTAGTGCCTCGCATGTCAAAGGCAGTCAGTGAAATCTTTTTCTTTTTAACTGAACAGATTTTTGAAAAACCACACTACATTATATTTTAGAATATTTGGGATTTTTTTGAAAAATGATGCTTTAAGCTTTAATAAACACATGTAATTTGCAAATAAACTGTTGAATAAGATAACTATCACATGAGAGAATACATCTGAAAGCATTTTGGAAGTGAAGAGTCTAGAAATGTAGGATAGTAGTACTTCAAACTATTACTGAAATATTTACTAATTGTATTTGGGAATTTTTCCTTTCCTCAAAAATTTTGTTTACTTACCTAGAGTTATGTGAAGATATTTCTAAAACAAAATAATTGAGTATTGGGTTCAAATGTATCTTGCTCTTCGTTGTTTGTACACAACAACTAAGTATACCAATGAGTAATCATACTAGTTGGACATTTGTTTACTTACTAAAACGAAGTATACAAGAAGAAAGCATGAAACAGGTTTGTTATAAGAATTATGTTATAAGAACATTTCAATGAAATCTTTAGAATGGCTTTGGGAATAGTGCCCCCTTATGGTTTAGGAAATACACAGTCTTTATTCATTTTTACCATTAAAAAATGGTAGAACATTTAAAAATGTTAACCTTTTTAAAAGGCTTCTGATAGAAAACTTAGAAATTTATCCTTTTGGTCTGAGAAATGGGAAAAAATTAAGAAACTTCAAGGAAGAAAAGAAGAAGAGTAGTCCTGAATCACTTTGTAGTTAGCCTATAGTGTTCTCATAGCTGTGCATACATTAGTTTATGCCACTGGGAGAACAAGGAAGTAATCAAGAATTGGGTTAATTTCAATCCCTTTAGAATTCTGGGAGTGGAAAATG